TTACAGGTAAGCAACCTGTTTTTACTTTCTGCTCGCAAGCTGTAAAGTCCAGTCTCACCACAATGGTACTTGTAACAATAAAACAACTCCTAGATTAATTAGATTGTATATTGTGTTAATAAAATAAAAACAATTCTGTAAACTTGCTGGCTGCAGTGCTCACTGTTTTTTATTATATATATTTATTGTTATTTCTAGTACAATACATCGATTCTGTAGTATATCTTAATCATTCGAGCCCACCACACAACATATAGGTTTGTCAAAATAGTTGTTACATAGTTTTAACATTTTTCCTAACCTTCACCGTTTTCAAACTTACCAAAATTAATGAATACATGAAATGATACTTTAAGCCGTGATTACTTTTATAACTTTGACTGGTTTGACCTTCCACATTTTTAATATCTTTGTCAGCAAATATATAATTTTTTACCAGTGCTAGTTATGATGAATGTGCAGGGTTAGGTCTCCAACTATAGCAGGAGATCTCTTGGCATTGGTCCCCACCCAATACCCACTACCACTCACAGGCTGGTGGCGGGGAAATTGGAGGGGGGGTCATGTCAAAGTGCAGTGTCACTTCTGGCGCCAAACTGGAAGTGACATCATCATGGCAAGGCAACACTATAGAATTCACCCCAAGCTATGGTTCCAAGTGAGTGAATCCTAGAGCATTGCCCTAACACGATGATGTCACTGCTGGTTTTGCCCAGAAGTGATGTCATGCATTGGCTTAACACCGAGATTATCCTGCTGCTGAATTTCTCCTGGCTCGGTGCTGGCTGCAGCTGGCAACCCTTGCTGAAGGCAATTCTCCCTCTGAGGTGGAGGCCATCTTGTGGGTGATTCCCAACCATCTCTTAGGGAGGCAGGAACTTCAAACTGTTTCCTGTTTCCTGTGTTGGGAGTCGCCCTCAACTCAGTTTTCTTCCTGCCTCAGTAGGGAGAGCAGTAAAAATTTGGCTTTGCTTCTACTTTCACTATTTCAAACTGCTTATCTTTCTCTTCTTTCCTGTTTTTCCATAATTCTCGATAATCTACCTCAGTTCACTTTCTCTGTCTTAACAAAAAAAAAAAAAAATCCCCTCAACTGTCACTTTGTTTCTTTCTGCGAGACTCCTCTCCCAACAGCGGCTATGGCACGCAAGGGAGACATTGATGGCTTTTTATCCTCTGGGGAAATCGATGGGGAGGAAAGTAGAAAAGATCGCGCAGGGCGAAAAAGAGGCCTGGACGGCAGCGATCGACAGGCAGATGCGCATAGCGCGGCCAAGCGCGCCAAAAGCTCCCACACGCTCCAGGAGTCTCCAAACATGGCGGCAGCCATTTTGATGGAAAACATTGAGCGACGGAGCCCGGCACAGGGCAGGGAGCGACCCGAGACTGTGTGTCTGAGCGGGTCCGACCTAGCAGCGAGTACTCTAATAGAGGCTGCCCGGGAACATGACGGAGAAGCGGAAGGCTCTTCTCACGGAGGTAACGCTGATGACGCCGCCTCGGCTCCCTTGTCCCCCAGAGTCATGTCTTATTTCAGGAGAGCCATGAGGCAAGAGATAGCCCACTTTTGCAGCTCAGGGGGTCATTCTAGTAGATCTCCGTCATCTTCCCCTTCCCCCCCCCTCCAGATTTCTATTCCTCCTGAGCAGTCCTTCAGATTTTTTAAAACAGAGGACCTCCATTACTTGCTGTCTAAGACAGTTTCTGCCCTTAAGATCCAAAATCTACAAAGAGCAGGGA